CAAGATAATGTTTGACATATCAAATAAAATATCACTATAGAAGAATTCATTAATTACATGGTCCATAGTTTTGACGGGAGAATTTATTGAGATACAAAAAGTTTCACATCGGAAAAAAAAAGAATCCATTAGTTATAGTTTGCAAACCATGTGTTATTGTAAATTATTCAGCCGAGTAAGTTATACTAGACAAATTTTGTATGAAATATACACATGAACAAAAGGGCATCGACAAGATTTGAATCCATAAGATTACAAGTACAAGTTCATATGCTATACCAATTCAGCCATCCCTTAAGGGACGACAAGATTCTTATTCTTAAGGGGGAGGATAGAGGATATCTTTTTGTTATTATGTGGTCGTTACTTCTTTCTTTCTTTCTAGTAGGCATTCTTAATTTATCAGAATATACCCTTTGTAACGTGCCGGAAGCTGACACACTCGGCGCCCAGGCCCAAAGGTAGAAGTCAGCCGTCCCTTGTGCGCAACAAGCCTGGGTATACCGTATATTGTGGGATAAATAAGGCGGCACAAGTACCTACACCAAGATATATACCGTTGATTAACCATACAGGACTGGGGCTCGCATACATGGGATAGACTATGACCGAGAACCTGGGCAGAAATGTCAGTTTGTGACACTCCCCCCCACTCCAAGTCGCAAACGCCATCCTGCGACGCCACTTGAGTGCACCGACGTTGTTTCTTGTACGTTGGGCATGCCTCCAGGCGTCACTCTATTGACCTTTTCGCGCATACCCCTTTGTGCTCACCAACTGCTAGCGAGGTTGGATGATGACTCCAAATATGAGCATATTCTTAGCTTGACAAAATTGTGTATTACTTGAATTTCTGTATAAAAACCATCATAATAACTTGTTTATATCGCTTGGCATGATCCAGAGTTCGTTGTTGAGATTATTAACGAATTTTGCCCCTTTTAAGCGGTATTCTGGTGCCAGAAAAGTTAAAGGAGACGCCACAAGCGGCAGCCACTTCTGCTCGCAAGCGACCACTGCATCACCTAGAAAAGACTAAGGCATGAGAGACAAGGGGTAGCTTCCACCGATCGCAAGCGACAGTCTCTCCCGCTTGCAAGCGACGGTCCAGAAGCCCACCGCTGCAGAATGACAGCAGATATTGACTAAATGTTCCAACTGCAGCGGTACATCCATTCCATTTCCAGCCAACATAAGCAAGTCTAGCTGCAATGATGCCCTCCAGCCCTTCGGCAAACGAGGAAGATTTGAGCCTTTACTATCCTACGCAAGCGAAGCGAGCACCCTAGGAGTTATGGTCAACAATTGCTTCAACAGAATAACTGCCATCAACCGCCTAACTGCCTAGCGGTTGGAACTGCCGTGCAACTGCCTACAAACGTTCCTTTTCACCTACTATAAATAGGGCCAGATATCTCTATATAAATATACTTCAATCTGGAGTATTTTAGCAATTAATTTATGCGCAATCTAGTTGTCTTCTTGTTCTTCGAGAACTCCAACCCTGTAAGGGAGTTTTCCATAGGAATGGCCAAGGGAGTAGGGAAGACTTTACCGCTTTCTTAGAGTAGCTTATTGCTTTCAATCACAGCTTTGTAGGTTTAGCATTTCCAGATTTATTAGTAAGTAATGAAATATCATTCAGTTTTTCATCTACGTTTCTTCCCCATTCTCTTCATACTTATATAAATTTTGAATTTAAAGGATTTCATTTCACTGGTTTAGAGCATGAGAAGAATTGATTATCTAACCTTTTTCTTTTGCCAAAAGCGTTTTCAAGGTAGTTCAATGTAGTTAAGTACGCAAGAGCCTTTTCGACTTGCTTAACTACTGTTCTGAATTCAATTTTGATTAAAAAGAGGTGACAGAAGGGTAAAGCCACTAATGAGGCAGAAATTGGGATAATTCATGAGGCATAGACGGTGGTCTATTAGGTCACAGAAATTCCTAGCGATAGTAGGGTTTCTTTCTTATAATATTCCGATTTTGGGCGTCATTGAAGTCTTGTTATAAATCCCTTAAGGTCAAATTCCAGTGTGAAGAATTCTTTACAATTCAGTTTATATATTTACATTATTTCCTTCCACCTCTTCTGTATTATACATATACCTCCGTTAACACACTTACTCCGCTCGTTCATTAAATCCAGGAAAACCTAGCCATTAAGTAACGCAGAAGTCAGACACAATATCTCTCCCTCACTTTCCATCGCTTACATATATACATATATACATATTGTGCCATCCACTCATGTCTCGTTCACTCGGTAATCGTCATCCACTCATGTCCCGTTCACTCGATGATCGCATCCGCTCATGTCCCGTTCACTCGGTTACCGCTGGCACTTCACCGCTCACCTCCGCCCCGCTCGCCTCCGCTCACTTTTTACTGCTTTCACTTATCACTTTCCTTAGACTAGAAATTTGGATCCGCTGCAGCGCGGGTCCTTTACTACATTTTTCGTTGTTTTCTCAAGATCTTACTTGTTTTGAAATTCATGACTTAAAATCCTTGTGTTCGACCTAAAAACTCACCAGTAAAAAGAGTATAAATAATTATAATAATTACTCAGGGTTTACAACCACAATTTTTACTATATCTGACCATTTTCTATAAACCGTCACTCATTGACTTTGGAATATAAATTTTTTGTAAAAATATACAAATTATGTTTCTAACAAATTTTAGTTATCACTTAACATTCCATGGTTACACTACACATGATACACTTGCTAGTAGTAGGGCCGGCCAACACTAGAGTCTACAGGCGCCGGGGCATCAAAATATTATTAGCCCCTGTCTGTGGTTGATATTAACAGGAGATAGCAAATTCCCTTTTCCTTTAATCTATTTATTTGTTTGTTTGTTGAAATGAAAAAAGAAAATGGGTGGTTAGAATGAAGAGATGTGATTGGTGTGTTTAGGGGAATGGATGGATGAATCTATATGTGAATGACAATGAAATCACTAACGACATTACTTAATGAACTAATGGGAATTAATTCCACTGATGAAAAGCTGCTTGAGATCACAAGACTTTGATTAAAAAAAAGTATATATACTTTTTAAAAAAATATTTGATTCTTCAAGTAGTGTTTCTACGATCGATCAATTGACTGATTCCTCCCTCCTATTGGACGGAAGATATTAATTGTTTTCATTCGTCAATAAATTATATAATAATTACAGTGTGAAACAATAGGAGAAATGTAATATATATGTATATATATATATATATGTGTTTAATGGAGGGGGAATAAATAATACTCTCTCCGTTCGCAAACTAATATTCTATTTTTTTATTTGGAACGTTCAACAATTATTGTCTTATTTTCTTTTTTAACACAAATTTTATATTTTTACCGTTTCATTTATTACTTATAATCTCTACCATAAAATTAAGGACAAATTTGTCAATTTCTAGCAAAAAAGACAATTTCCTAAATATACTTTAGAATAATATAAATTGGACAAGGGAGTAATAATCAATCATTAATTAATTAATTGATTGATTGATTGATGGATGGATGGGGAGGGAGGGAGGGACAGAGGGATGAGTCTCGATCGACTGACTGCCAGTACTGGCTGACGACGCTAGTTGCACTTTAGCCTCAAAACCAGTGGAAGTGGAAGATGCAAGGGGATGGAGATATGGGAGATGCGTTTGTTTGGTCCGGTCCCATTTCAATTCATTTTATTTCATTTCGTGTCGTCTGTGAAGTTATGGATCACCAGGGCAGGGCAGGGCAGGCCAGAACAACCAAGCTCAGCTCCGTAGTGGAGTCTTTGAAAGAAACCACCGAGTAAGTAAGAAAGAAAGATAGATAGATTAATTGCTAATATATTTCAAGTAATTAATTAGCTAATGATATAATCAAGAACAGTAGAGGTTGTTATATATTATTGACATATATTCAATCACACGCGCGAACTCGTCCTAATAAATTAGTAGTATTGATATACGATGCATTCCAATCGCGACGTACAGATTGAGGATGAGAATTCAATCATATATATCCATGATACGAATCGATAGTATGAGATGATATACAGACGTACGTATAATTCAGATGGATCAGAAAAGTAAGCAGTGAGTGAGTAAGTGATTCACCCAACATGCATGCATCCATCCATCATCACTACTCATCTGATCTGATCTGGTCCTCCTCTCATCTCCCCCCTCCATCCATCATCGCTTAATTACTTTGCTCCTCGTCCACCTCCTAATCTGCCATTAATTAATTATGTTGTCATCGCTAGCTGACCAAGTGTCGACTCATCATCCACGTTAATTAAAGTGTGCATGTCCCTCTCTCTTTCTCTCTGTGTTTGTCTCGTAATAAAAGCAAGGATATACACATATAATAATAACAGCAGCAGCAGCAGCAACGACGACGACGACGACGACGATAATAATAATAATAATTTAACGAATGTTATTGGTTTTTTGTCTATTTGCTGCTTGATGCCTCACGCCAATTCATCAAATGAATTCTGCATGCGCATATGTATAGTCATATAGATAGATAGATACAGGCAGATAAATAGATGGCATATGTACTACCCTAGGCCCTAGCTCTCCAGCCAGCCAAACACACACTCGCTCGCTCACTGAGTCTCACCGTCTCACGCCTTGCGTTGATGGTTTGGCTGGTGGTCAACAGGAATTGAATTAAATCAAATTATATTAAAACATTCGCTCTTATCCTACTATTTGCCCATTGATTAATAATGCAGTTATTTAACATTATCCTCCCATAATCAAGACCCGCCCTTAATGTAATTCCTCCACAGAGATTATATATATTAAGTATTATAATAATTAATTATCTGCAGCTGCTGAGTATTATTCATCACAATTCAAACTTACTACTACTAGTGGCAGAATATATATATATATATATATTTCATGCACAGCTGGTGTCACGTACGTATAGTACCAACAATATTATTCAAATTAAATGCATTTAATTAATCAGATGCTGCTGCTCCTGCTGCTGCTCGTGTATAAAAAGGGCACACCCCATGCAGCACATCCAGAATGCATAAGCATATACATATATATATATATATATCACAACAACAAGAAGCTAAGCATATTTACCTACCAAATAAGAGATCAAGGAAGAGAGGGAGAGGCAGCTGATCGATCAGTAGAATTATTATAGGAGAAGGAGGTACATATACAAATATCTAGGAACTAATTATATATATATATATATCGATGGGCAGGCAAAAGCTGTCGATGGGGTTGGGGTGTAGGGGCGGAGCAGGAGCAGGTAGCTTATTGAGTAAATCGAAGCCATACCTGAGCATGGTGTGGGTGCAAGTTGGATATGCTGGATTGTACGTTATCAGCGTCGTCGCTTTCAGGCGTGGCTTCAGCCATTGGATCTTCGTTGTCTATCGCCATCTTGTTGCCACCCTCATTTTCGTCCCTTTAGCCTATTTTCTCGAAAAGTACGCAGCTACAACTACTCACCCGGCCCTCCTGCATATTTCTTGCTAATTCATTCATTGCTCATGATTTCCTTCATGCATACACACACACGCGCGCGCATGTATATAATCATTCATTCCATTTCACTGCCTACCTATCTGGATTGATTAACTAATTGATTGCACATATATATATTTATGTAATGATCAGCAGCATTTATCAACTATTTCCTGGTTTAATTTCAGAAAAACAAGGCCTAAGATGACAAAATCCATATTCTTCAAGGTTGTGGTTCTCGCCTTCTTAGAGTACGTGCATGAACGTGATCTTATCAATACACGCATGTGTGTGTTTTTATTTGATTATTACGCGCACACACATTGCGTTTGATCAATAGTTAATAATAAGTGAATATATATCGATGAATTCATACCTATATATATATATATATAACCTACCTCTGCCTGATCAAGTTAGTCGTGAAATTAAGAAAATCATCGATCATGGATGCAACAATGAAACTGCAGGCCAGTTCTGGACCAGAACTTGTACTTCTTGGGAATCCAATATACATCCGCAACCTTTGCAGCTGCCACCGGCAATGTTGTCCCCGCCATCACCTTCATCATGGCCCTCATTTTCAGGTATAATTAAATGATTGATTCATTAACACCCACGCACGCAACATCCATCCTGTAATGTGCTCTGAAATCAACCAGCTGCCTGCCTGGCTGCTGATCACTACGTCGGGTGAGATCAGACCTTCTAATCCTGCAGGTTGGAAAAGGTAAATCTGAAAATGTTGCACAGCCTAGCTAAGGTGATCGGCACAGTGATCACACTCATGGGGGCAATGGTGATGACACTGTACAAAGGTCCTGTTGTGGATATCATGTGGTACTCCAACAACAGCGGCCATCACCAAGCCCAAGCCCAAGACGCAGCCAATCAGCATTGGGTCAGCGGCACCATCATGTTGTTCGCTTGCATTGTGGGATGGTCGGCCTTCTTTATTTTGCAAGTAAGCTAGCTAGCTAAATATTGAGTAGTGCATATATAGCTATGTATGTATGTATGTTTTTATATCACAGTCTCACTCTGTAACTAATTAATGTTGAGACACCACCTCCACTTGTGCGTACCCATGATATATATATATATATGATATATGAGCAGAACAAGACGTTGAAGGAGTACCCGGCACAGCTGTCATTGACATCTCTAATATGTGCAATGGGCGTGGTGGAAAGCGGCACCGCAGCAGTGATAATGGAGCGGAGAAAGAGTGCTTGGGTCGTCGGCTTCGATTCCAGACTTCTACTAGTCGTGTATTCGGTAAGACAGTGAAATGAAAGTCATTAATTAAGCTTACTAGATGGATGGATATGGATAATGGGAGTGGTGATGGTGGTGGTGGTGGTGGTGGTGGTGGAAGAAGTAGTAGTAGTAGTATATCTGAGAGTACTGAAGCATGTAGTAATTGATTGGTTCCCCTGCCCCTGCCCCTGCCCCTGCACGGTGCATGGCGCGCGGCAATGATTCGACTGCAGGGTATAGTTTGCTCGGGCATCGGGTATTACTTGCAAGGTGTGGTGAACAGGGAACGAGGCCCCGTCTTCGTCACCGCATTCACTCCTCTCAGCATGATCGTCACTGCTGTCTTGGGAACCATAATCTTGGCCGAGCAGCTTCATCTTGGAAGGTATTTATTATAAATACTACTCCTACTACTGTATAATAATTAATCACTTGAATATTTTATCTAATTAATCACATCATCCAAGAAAGCCAATTCTTGATATTAATAGTATTATTATTCTCTTCTGATCGCAAATAGTATTATTATTCTTGTTTTGCTTTGCTTTGCTTTGAGATAGAGAGAAGAAGAAAAAATAGCAGTACAGGAAACATCGTCATATTCTAATTCTAATTCTAATTCTGAAAATGACACGATCATGCTGGTTGATGCGTGTGTTGATTTGACATGGCAGCTTGATTGGAGCAATCGTCATAGTCTGTGGGCTCTACTCGGTGGTTTGGGGAAAAGGGAGAGAGACCAAATTAGCTTCCGCAGCTTCAGATAAACTGTCGGATGCCGCCGATGGCGCGGGCGGGGCATTGCCTGTGATGGCGGTGGTGGAGAAGGATATTCAGATCATTGCTGACGCCAACATTTATCAAACCAATGTCTCTCAGGCAGAGCCATAATTAGAACATGCAGTATTGAACAGAACCTATTCGGATGGTCAGGCATGCAATATGCATGTACACATTTATGTTCATATGCGTTCTCAATCCATTTCATCAGAAATATCAGAGCTCCACGAATTTGCACCTCATTCATCCTTCACACATTTTCAGCATCGGCATCTATAATACATGTATTGTTTGTCAGCGTGTCCCGCAAAATAATTTGAATGAAGAGACCATAAAAAAAAAAAAAAAAGAAAAAGAGAAAAAAGAAACTGTCATGACTGAATCGGGTTTTTGTCCAAAAACAGCAACAAATTGGTTGTTTAAATACAACACGCTCGTGAAGGAGAGCCCATACCATACAAAACAAACCAAAGAAACACAATGCTCCGGTCCGGTCCAGTCCAGTCCAATGTTTCAATGATCGCCAATAAACAAGAAAAATTACAATGGAATTGATAAAAGCAACAAACCAAGAACGAGCACAAGAGAGATGTTGGCTAAAGGCTTCACCAATGAGCACGCATCTGAGGAGCCCGAGGCACTTCCCATCGGTCCACTGGCTGCAGGTGGGAATCCAATGCCAGATGAGGGCACAACAGAGGACTTGGGATTTGTTGTTGGAATACCACCAGCTTCTGATGGCGCAGGCGCCGGAGAAAATACTGAATCTGGGAGTACCGTGGGCGGAGCAACAAGCGCAGGTAACTGCTGTGGCCCTGCATACCACCAGTCCATCAAAGATAACACGAAATTGACGTGGGTCAAATTACAGTCAGAACTCGATACAGAGAAAACATCAAATGTTTGGTGCGTATGTGTGTGGTCAGTCTTATCCCCAGCAAGAAAGGAGTAAACTAATGAACTCGCATTCAAGAATGACTAAAGCCGGGAGATTATGCTGCTTAACAAAACCCATTAAAATACATAAAGGTGAAGTGATGAGCAGTTGGAATGAGTAGCAACAGCGGTACCTGGGCATCTAGGCTGAAGGGATGCTGACAACCTGCAGGCAGAAATAAAGAAAAGAATTTGCTATCAAGTGCTTTTATTAGGTAAAAGATGAAACTGAGTAAAACGGAATGAGCTTACGTAGAAGCAATGCTTCCATTCACAAAGCCACTGTAAGTGCAAGAAGTCACATTGCATCCACCTGTGGATTGTTGTATGGTGGTGTTTCCTAACAGGAGATTACTATTTCTGCATTGCATGCTCGAACAGGACACAGCCAAAGAAGCCGGAATACAATATAAACTGCAAAAGATCGTACTGAGCTATTAGACATTCCGTGCATTGAGATGGAAAACACTTTAAATGCCCTGGAGCTTGCTTACTTGCGACTTCCTGGTCCACAGCTGCACTGCACGCAGTGACTGGCGGTTATGGCATAACTCCCATTTGGCACAACCAAGCCATAGTCAGAAGCATAGTTTGGGAAATTTGATGCACAAGCTGTAGATTCACATTGTGGGGTAACTTAGAAACAGTTGTGGACGATTGACTAACAAGATGTCGTAGGTATAAAGAAACAAATTTTCTAGGTAAATTGCAGGAGATCAATATATATATATATATATATCGCTAGATAGAAGCTTTCGGCACCGGTTACATTATAACGATGCTAAACAATGGGAGGGCCATGCCACTGCTTTCTGTATTCTTCAATCAAGTTATAACAATTAACTCCATGTCGTGTGTAAGGCATTGAGATGGATACTGACTAGATCGATGACGAAATGGGGGTAAGTGTAGAAGAGTCAGTCATCAAGAAAACAACTGCCCACAATAAAGCAGAAACTAGCTTCACAATGATATAGATCACCAGACAGACAATGGCTGAGCCCCCGCCCACAATAACCCACCACCCAATTATGCTCGTATTTCTTGGTCATTTTAATGCAATCAGTAGAATCAACAAAGCCATCATTAAATACCTAAACCACTCACCGCAAACAAGAGAATAAATAGAATAGAATAGAATAGGACAGGACAGGACAGGACAGGGCGGACTAACCAGACAATGGAATGGCAAGGATATCACCATCCTTAATATCCGCACCCCCCAGCGCATTCACATTCATCAGATCGCTCACAGTGGTGGCGTATCTCGCCGCAACCCCTGCCAAGGTATCCACATCCTTCACCACGTAAGACATATAAATCGCCGGCAAATTGTTGTCGCTGTTGTTGAAGCAAGTGCAGGGCAACGGGATGTTGAGCTGCGTCCCAACACCAATCACCGACGGATCGGAAAGCTCAGCCTTAGGGTTGGCCTCCTTAATCTGATCAGCGGACACAAGGGCGCCGTAGACCGCCGATGAAATGGAGGACAGCGTGTCGGAGGGGCGGGTCTTGTAGGAAACGGAGCTAGATTTGCGGATGCCGTCGACGCAGGAACAGGAGATGGGGATTTTGAGAAAGAGCTGGGAGGGGAGGATGTGGTTCTCGACGTCAGGGTATGAAATGTCGATGGCGTTGGTCAGGAGGAGGGAGATGGGGTCGACGGAGAAGAGGGAAGCGACTTCGGAGACTTTGAGGTCGGTGTAGAGAGTGTAGCCGACGAGGGAAGAGCAGGTGTCGGAGTTGGAGCATGGTTCAATCGTGGATTTGGGAGCGGCGCGTGGGAGGCAACCGCCCAGAGCAAGGAGGAAAATGAGGAGGGCAGCAGGCGGCGGGGAAGCCGAGGGCATTGCGTGTGAGAGTATCGAGCAAGTGGGTAGTGCGAAAAGCTTGTAATAATAAGAATGCGGTTGGTTAAATGAGAGCTCAGCGAGCTAGCGGAGGGAGAGTGACTGGGAGTGAGTTTCTTTCTTTCTTTCTTTCTTTCTTACCACTGTTGGCGGTGGGGTGGAGTGGCTTTGAGAGAGAGACGCCGTCGCCGGCCCGGATCGGAGGTGGAAATGTGGGGAGAGGCGGAGTGAGAAGGCAAGCACTTTTCCTTTTCGAAAGTAGGTCTGTGTGGGTGAGAGATGAATGATTTGTTTGTTTTGTCAAAACAAATAATCCATTTTAAAATAAATACATAGATATATTCATTATATATATAACTTTTTATATTTTATATTAAAAAAATATATATTTTTTAAATTATTTCAAAAGAGAAAAACAAACAAATCCAAAGTGATACGGGAAGGAATTCAGACGAGGGTCCGTCAGTCTGCTAGAGCTTGCTTCTCGACAGTCGTGTCTAACCCTAATATTTTTTTTTTTTTTTGTTGCACTTTTGCGTTTCCGTCCTCTCGATCTCAATGATTGTCGTAAAAGAAATGCTCTCGAATTTATTGGATTTGTTTGGTATTAATTTGAGATATATTTATGTTATGCGCTATGGTTATGTTTTTGGGGTAAACACGATTCGGGTATTTACAAATATATCATATTTGATACCAGAATCGAATTGAATAAATACTTGAATTTGTGAAAAAAATTTCGATTAATTAAAAATATATACAATGCAAATAACTCGAACCAAATTAAAATTAAAAATAATATATTAAAAAAAATTAAATTTTAATTAAATCAAAATATTGATAAATATTTCAAATGTCCGAATCAAAACCGAACTGTAACAAAATCGAAATCGAACCGAATATAATTATTAATATAAATTTTAAAATATAATAATATAAATGTGTGAATTATGTAATACATTATTGGGTTTTATTAAAAATGCACAAAACACCGTATGTTTTATTTATTACATGAAATTTAATGGAAAGTTTGGATGAGATGTTTGGTTCGAAATAAAAATTTAAATTACGTAAGTTTTATACAAATAAAAATCATAAAATATCTTAATATTTTTTTTGAATAAAATAATAAATAAATAATTGATCAATCATTTATTTTTGTAATTTTATAAAAAATCACACAACAATTTGTCTCCAAAAATTATAAATGAAAGATTAATAAATTATTTATTTATTTATTTAATGCAAAAAAATTATTTAAAATATTTTGCACTTTACTTGTATAAAACTTGCTATAATTTAGCTCTTTATTTAAAACTAAATATCATTTTTTTTTTTTTTGACAAAAAGGGTTTCGTCCAAACTTTACATTAACACAAGAGGTTTTACGCAATAAATAAAACATAAGGTGTTTTGTGCATTTTTATGGTGTTATATAATTTACCGTAATATAAATATATTTGGTTCGATTAATCGAACAAACACAAGTATAAAAAACCGAAACCGAAACCGAATCGAACCGAACAAATATCAAATATGCAATATTTGTATTCGAATCGAATTTGCTCGGTTAATCAAAAATTTGGTTTGGTTCTGTTCGGTTTAGCGGTTCGACAATTCAGTTCAATTTTTTTTGCCCACACCCAATTGTTTTTATACACTTAATATTTTATATTATTTTGTTTTTTTATATATTTTAATTATATTTAATTTTTTTAATTTATAATTATTTATATTATATTATTTATTTCTTTGTTTTTGGCATGAAATAATATAAATTAGTAATTTATTAATAATTATTTTTTTATATGAGTAATAATTTTAGTATTTTAAATTTTATTATTATTATATTTTAATACAAATATATACAATATAGATATCATTTTATACATAATAAAATTTTATATAATCTCAATAAATAAAAAAATATTTATTTATTTATAATTAATTTAAAACTAATTTTATTAAGAAAAATAATTTAAATATAGATAAAATATTGTTTATAAAGAGATATAGACATAAAGTGAGTGGATATGTAAAAAGTTATAAATTTAATTAAATTAATTTATATTTAAAATTAATGAATTTAATAAAAATAAAAATAAATTATAGTTTATGAACGGATAAAAAAATGAATTATTTATTGCAGAATAAAAAAAAATATATTATAATTATTTATTAATCATATATTTTTTTTAAAATTTTCATATTTAAGAACAATTAGGATACGAGATGTGTAATTAAAAGAATAATTTTTTAAATTATTTTAATTTAAGTATTATTTTAATATAATATTTATAGTCAGAATAACAGTGGAACGAAGTCGAAACAAATTTTATAAGCCTCATAATCCATCCGCAAAAAAAGTTAGGTGCCAAAACCAAACGGCCCTAGTTCAGCCCTACGTTGAAATCCGTCTTACCTAAACTCGTCGGGGTTTAGGGCCAGTCCGAAATTTTCAATTTATTTTCTAGAATATTTTTATTTATTACTTTTTTATTTTATAACAAAAGTAGTAATTTATTTTTAACTACAGTCACACTTTTGCAACTATGAGAGAAGACGTATAATGAATTAAGAAAATAGTAAATTAAAATATTTTAAGACAAAAAGAAAAGAGTATAAAAAAATAAAAAGATCAGTAAAAGTATAAAACTACAAATTTAATTAATATAAATAATTATACAAAAATATAATATTAAATTTTATGATTATTAATTTAACCAGATTTGGAAAGAATTTGGGATAAAAAAGAATTTTTAATTAAATTTACAATTCATTCCGATATGATTGAATTTAAAATTTAAAAACCCATAACCCACACCAGTGATATAATTTTGAACCTCAACTCCCCCCTATCCCAAGGTCGGGATGGAACTGAGGCAAGACTTGCTCCGATTGTCATACTAATTTATAAGATAAAATGGTTTATTTTATGTTACCAAGTTTGTTTTGTTTATCTGGTTTGAAGAAAAAAAAATAAAATAAAATTATGTGAAGTTTAGATAATATAAATATAACGAATGCATGTAATATATTAATTTTTTGAAAAAATATGTTAGATTTTTGTCAAAACAAACAAGCCACAAACTAATTACTCCTTCGTCCCACTTAAATGGTATTTTTAACTAGCGATACCGTTTTTTAGATAACGATATTTAATTAACTAATAATAATACTAAGAGTTTGATTTTTTTTTTGGTTTGAAGGGGAAAAAAATTATGTGAAGTCTAGATAATATAAACATAACGAATGCATGTAATATATATTAGTTTTTGAAAAAATTAATAAACAAACCACAAACTAATTACTCTCTATCCCATTTTAAATAATATCTTTAATTAGGGATACAGTTTTTTAGGTAACGATATTTAATTAGTTAATAATAATACAAAGTATTTATTTTGTGTTTTGGTTTGAAGAGAGAGAAAAAAAAATTATGTGAAGTCTAGATAATATAAAAATAACGAATGCATATAATATATTAATTTTTTGAAAAAATATGTTAGATTTTTGTCAAAACAAACAAACCACAAACTAATTACTCTATGATTTTTTAGATAATAATATTTAATTAGTTAATATATTTTATTTTTTTTTGCTTTGAAAGTAAAAAAGAAGGATAATTTATGTGAAATCTAGATAATATAAAAATAACGAAGGCATATAAATATTAATTTTTTTAAAAAAAATATATTAAATTTTTGTCAAAACAAACAAACCACAAAATAATTACTCCCACTTCCCATCTTAAATGATATATTTAATTAGGGATATTGTTTTTTAGATAACTATATTTAATTAGTTAATAATAATAAATTACGATATTATTTTATTATTGTTTTTTTTATAGAATAAGTATTGTTATTAAATTTAAAATAAGAAAGAGTTATATATATTATTAAGATAAAATTTTTAAAATATAAATAATATATATAATATGAATATTATTTAAAAAAATAAAATTTATATAATACAAATAAAATAATAAAATATTTATTTATTTATCTATTATTAATATAAATTAATTGTATAAAAATTGTGAAGTTTTAATGTAAATAAAAATATTTGTGCTATATGATACTATATATTATAAACTTAATTAAGTTAATTTTTATTTATGGAAGATGTATTACATTAGTAAATATAGAAAACATCGTTTGCTAGGAGGGAAATTAAAATGAATATAAAGTTAATTAAATTAATTTATATTTGTTAAATATTTATTAAATTAGTAAAATTTATGAATATAGAAAGATATTATAAAACAGATTAAAATAAAAATGATATAGTATGTAGAATGGATGGAGTATTTAATATAGCATTTTAATTATAAAATATTATGACATATTTTTTTTTGTTGTTGCTATACTTATATATAATTTATTTATAATAAATAATTTTATTAATTCGTAATTTCAATATTTATATTTTAACAAATAATAATTAATTTGTTATGATTTTGTCTACTTTACCTTATTATTTTATTATTAATTTATAATATACTTTTTTTTATAATATCTATAAAGATATTATAAAAGTAATTATACATTAATATTTTTAAAATTTTTAGATTTATAAAAATATTATCATACATATAATTAATTTACATAAAATATCAACATTATCTTACATATTTTATTAATTAAAATATTACTATTCGAGCATACTTTTTTTAGTTGGAATTTAAATTGTAAAAATTTTGAATTAAAATATTTATATGATGTGATATAAATAGGTGTTGATGTGATATTTTGAATGTAAAATTGATTTTTAGTATAATATAAAAATAGACCCACTAAACCTCCCGAATATTGTGGCTGCTTTGAATCATTCTCAACACGTCCCCTTAATTTAAAGCTGGTAATGAACAATTGCTTTCTGAAATCCTTTAACTTTGCCCTTGGCAGTGCTTTAGTAACATGTATGCTAGTTAGTAAGCCGATCTGCAGAATTCTACAACTTCTCTTTTCGCAACCAACTCCCGAACGTAATGGTGTTTGATCTCAATATGCTTAGTTCTCCCATGCATAATAGGATTCCTTGGGATGGTCATTTCCGAAATGTTGTCGCAGAAGACCATAGTAGCTTGTAATTGTTTATGATGTAAATCACTCAATAACTTTCTTAACTCTACTGCTTGACAGTCTGCTGCTGTAATTGCTACATATTCGGCTTCCGTTGATGATAATGCTACTGCAGGTTGCTTCTTAGAAATCTACGAAATTGGCCCTTACCCAAGTACAAAATAGTTACTCGTCGTACTTCTTCTATCCTTTTGTGCTCTTGCCC